ATCGATATTATTTCTTAAAAAAACAACTGACGAAATGAAAGAATAGTAACGTTACTTTATATGGCGGGGAAAAACTCTTAACTATGATGCATTTTTAGCTCACCTAACCACATAGTGGTCAAGGTGAGGTATAGTGATGGGGCTTTGTCCGGTGCCCGTCGTCGTGCGTAGTGCGTCGTGCGTTGTCAACAAACGGGTTGTTAACAGTCTAACAGTCACAGTTTTGATTGGATCATCATCAAACTTTGTCAGAATGTTTGTCTCAATGAAATACAGAGAAAATTTGAAGATTGGTTATATCCGGTCAAAAACTAGGTCACATGAGCTATAAGTAGAAAAGCTTGTTAACACTCTTTTGGCTGCAGTTTTTATCCAAATATTCTGGAAATTTGTCAGGAAGGTTGTTTTGATGATTATAGGTCAAGTTTGAAGATGGGTTATCTCTGGTCAAAAACAAGGTCAAAGGAGCTACAAATAAAATAAGTTTGTGAACACTCTAGTGGCTTTATTTGTGATCAAAATCTTCTATAAATTTGTCAGGAAGATTGTTTTTACACTTTCTAGGTCAAGTTTGAAGATGGGTTATCTCCGGTCAAAACAAGGTCACAGGAGCTAAAAATAGAAAAAGGTTGTTAACACCCTAGTGGCTGCAGTTTTGCTCCAAATATTCTGGAAATTTTTCAGAAAGGTTGTTTTGATGATTTATATGTCAAGTTCGAAGATGGGTCATCTCAAGTCAAAACCTAGATCACAGGAGCTAGAAATAGAAAAAGCTTGTGAACACTCCAGTGGCTTTAGTTTTGATCCAAATATTCTGGAAATTTGTCAAGAAAATTGTTTAGATGATTTCTAGATCAGTTTTAAAGATGGGTCATCTCCAGTCAAAAACTAGGGTCACAGGAGCTAAAAATAGATAAAGCTTGTTAACACTCTAGTGGCTGCAGTTTTGATAAAAAATATTCTGGAAATTTGTCAGAAAAGTTGTTTTGATGATTTCTATGTCAACTTAGAAGATGGATCATCTCCGGTCAAAAACTAGGTCACAGGAGCTGAAAATAGAAAAAAGCTTGTTAACACTCTAGTGGCTGCAGTTTTGATAAAAAATATTCTGGAAATTTGTCAGGAAGGTTGTTTTGATGAATTCTAGGTCAAGTTCAAAGATGGGTCATCTCCGGTCAAAAACTATGTCACAGAAATAGAAAAAGCTTGTTAACACTCCAGTGGCTGCAGTTTCGATCCAAATATTCTGGAAATTTGTCAGGAAGGTTGGTTTGATGATTTCTAGGTCAAGTTCGAAGATGAGTCATTTCCGGTCAAAAACTATGTTAAAGGAGCTAAAAATAGAAAAATCTTTATAACACTGTAGTGGCTGCAGTTTTGATCCAAATATCCTGGAAATTTGTCAGAAAGGTTGTTTTGATGATTTCTAGGTCAAGTTTGAATATGGGTCGTCTCCAGTCAAAAATTAGGTCACATTGCCCAAATATGGTAAACCTTTTAAACACACTTTAGGTCACATTTTTGACTCAATTGTCATCAAACTTGGCTAAGACATTGTTTGGATGCGGTTGATGGGTCAGGGGAGCGATCCAGGGCAATCATGGCCCTCTTGTTTTAATGATAATATAGTTCAATTCTAATAATACAATAACACAATACTGATAATGGTAAAGTTCTATTTTGTATAATAGCTACTTCAATTAACTAAAGAGATATTTAACATAAAAGGCAACCATTGGAAAACACAATAGTACCATTATAATTCATTGATAATATTACATAATATATGTGTATTATGTGAATTTGTGTTCTAAACTTTTAAGAAAATAGTTACAGATCCCATATTAATAGTCGGGAACATTTAAGAGTACAAAATTAAATAAATTTATGACAGTATTTAAATTTATTTGTTTAAATCGATAAAAAGTTTAGGTCTTATGATAAAAAAAATCTGATAATCTTTTTTAAGAAGAAATTTGAAAAGAGCTCAGTACGCATTGCATTAAAGTATTACCTGATGTTTGTATGGCACTTTGGTGATTAGTGATCTATATAGTATTTAACAAAGCGTACAGTTAACCTTTAAGGCCTCTCTAAAATCTTTCTTAAACTTTAAGAGTCCGGTTTGTTTGCAGTTCTGTCATGAAATTATAACTAAAATCCCCAGCCATTCAAATTCCATTTCCTAACAATCAATATAATATATGAAAATAAATCATTCGGAAGCATTGAACACATATTTTTGTGCAAATATCTGGCTCGGTTGAAAACGATTGTTAATGAAATACAGAAAAAATGTTCCAACTCCTTTTAAATGCAACATTCTTCCTCCTTTTCACACTCTGCACTCCTTTACAATCACAGCATTCCTTCTCCTTTACATTCACAGCATTCCTTCACCTTTTCACATACTGCATTCACACACATCATTCTTTATCCTTTTTCACATACACCATTTATTCTCTTTTTCACACACAACATTCTTTCTCCTTTTCACACATAGCATTTTTTTCTCCTTTTCACACACGGCATTCTTTCTCCTTTTCACACACTGCATTTCTTCTCCTTTACATTCACAGCATTCCTTCTCCTTTTCACTCACTGCATTCTTTCTCCTTTTCAGACACATCGTTCTTTACAGTAGAATCCCTACTTAAGACCACCCCGGAATTAAGACCACTCCGCTATTTAGACCATATTTTAAAAGTAAGGAATATTCTGTTCTTTAATGTCAATGGTTACATGATCCAGAATTAAGACCACCTCGCTTATCCACTTTTAAGACCACCAGATTCAGTCCCAATTCTTTGTTTTGTTCTTTACTTGACCCCACTTTTGAGAGCACGATTTAAAGTCAAAACCTACCTAGATCTTAAATTTGTTGTTATTATCAGCTTGAATGCTCTTAGGCATGACACCTAATTTGACAAGGTGTCAAAAACACCTTATATCATTGGGATATTGTACGAAATAAGTTGAGAAAATAACTTTTAGAGTGGTTTAATCTTGCTTTAAGCACATTGATTATGAGAAGAACTAATTTTTTTGAAGGGTGAATTATACATCATATCATAATTAATATTGAAATTGATATTGAAATCAGGCAAAATAGAATTTGATATAAAATTTCTTTCTTCCCATCAGATGTTAATTTATAACATAGTTTTATGTTGTTTTTGCAGGTATATATACTGCTTGCTCATAAAAAATGACTAAAAAAGATCATGGTCAAAAAGTGTGTAAACATTGATAAGACTATTCACAATTAAAACCACCCCGCAATTAAGACCAGTTTTGTCCAGTCCAGATGGTGGTCTTAATTGGGTTTTTTTTACTGTACACCATTCTTTCTCCTTTTCACACACAACATTCTTCATCCTTTTCACACACTGCATTCTTTCTCCTATTCACACACAGCATTTTTTCTCCTTTTCACACAAAGCATTCTTTCTCCTTTTCACACACAGCATTCTCTCTCTTTTTCACACTCATCATTTAAAACATTCACTATGAAAATTAAATGCATCGAAAGCAATGGACATAATTTCTGTGCTTATCACCGACTCTGTTTATATGGCATTTTCAGGAGATTTAAAGATTTGAATAAACTGTACAAATTTTACAACATGTTTCAAACGATTTGCATATTTTTGACAATTCAGGTGTTTAAAAAGGAAAAACTTTAATTTTCTGTAAACCAACTAATCTTGAGGGATTACGTGGTTAATCATTGAAATATAAGTTGGATATATTCTAAAAATTCCTTCGAGGTTATCCACCTGGTTATCAAAAATAAAGCCAGGATTAGAGACCGTCCCGTGTTTATGACACTTGTAAAGGATATAAAACCAGCATGCATGTCGTCAATTTTAAAATAAATCTTACATGCAACATTTATATGTTTTATGTGCTGAACATTTCACCATTTGCTTTTTTCATGTCGTAACTTAGGATCGTTTGTACTAAAACAAGTCATGTTTTGTCCTCAACATTATGTGTGCATGTTTTATATGCATCTTTTATTTTATAATAATGTTTTATTTATCTGACTGATGGCATGTGCTTTTGAGTGCTTATGTGTTAGTCCAAAATATGATGAACAAGATCAAAAATGAAAGTCGGCGTCCAAAGTCTTAGTACTGTTGGGAGCTGTTATTTATGAACGTCACTTAACTTTGTTGAATTGTCACATTCATATTTTCATACTTCTTTTTTCTTGCTTTGTGTCGCTCTTTATCTAAAGATCGGAGACCAAACCGTGTTCAAAAAACTTGACTATTTTTATTCTAATTTATAATAATCATGTTTAAAAGTCTTGTATTGCCTTGCTTCGATTAAGTTATTATAACGAAATTCTTAAGTAAAATTATTTAACATCATAAGCTCTCATGCTATCTAAGACGAAAAAGAAATAGCATCATTAGAGAATTGCCATGTTCGAATGAAAACGTTTGTAATGCTGCTGTGATACTTTTGTGAATTTTGCCAATTGTAACTAGTATATGGAACTTCAAATGATAGTTATTGGTCTGCAGGAAAGGAGTTATTGTTTGCAATTTTCGGAAACAAATAATTGTTAAGAAATGCATTATTTTGTTTGTTGAACTTGAGGTCAAATCAGCCTTCACCTTAAAAATGGAAGTAAACTCTTAACATGCTGGAACTGAAAGTGTCAGCCTTTGCAACCAGTAAAGCATACCCGCGAAGTCTGACAAAGGTTAAATTTTTTTTGATGGCTTTTGTACTTTTGACATTAAATCTTCTAAAATTTCAAATTCAAAGTAAGGCTAATCAATTACACAAATTTAGAAGGTTGAGATTTTAGCTGGGAATAAAGATATAACACCAAAAAGAAACAATATTTTATTTATCTTTAATGTCTACACATGGTACTGAGGTAATCAGAAAGGTGACCGCTTGGTTGTTGCTTTCGTCATCTTTTACCGTCATAAAATAATAATCGAGCTTTGTTCGTGAAGGGTTATTATAAGCAAATACGTATGAAAAGTGCATGTGCCAGTAAGTATTCATAAATGATCTCATTTCGTCATCATATATTCACGAAGTATTTGTGACAATATATATCAAGTTCTTAATAGTATCACAAAACGTTTCGAGCCTTTAAAAGGATGCCTTGGTGTTGTTAATAAATGCAAGAACTGCCAATGCAACCACGACACTGCTTTCACGAACAGCTGAAAAAGTAGATACAAAAGTTTTATGTGAAAGAAATTTACAAAACCAATTTATTAGAATATTCCTCAGGACGCTCGTGTCATAAATTTAAAGTGTAATTGTTTGTTGTTTTTGTTGATTTTTTTCAAAGTATTACTGCGATTTTAGCTATAAGTTATTAACATTTTTTGACGGATTGTATGAACAAGGACAAACGTTTGTATGCGGATTTTAACCTTACAGCTAGGCGAATGTTATATTGCAAACATCTGTTCATATTATAAGTTGTAAAAGTTGCTGACGGTTTATACGGGATATTATTATATGATCTAAATATAGCTGCAATCTCATTGGTCCAAACAGTAGTCAACAGAATTATTTATAAAATCATATTCACTGGGTGTAGTATCATATTCACTGGCTAAATTGGATTTTCCCAGTCTAAAAATAGATTGAGACTCGTATTCAATGATCCTACACCGTAGACTGTATAACTACATGTGTTAATTAAAAAATAATTGTTGCTTTTTGTTCTTTATGGCATATTTCTCGATTAAAATATCATTACTTTACAATTATGCTCAAAGACTACACCGTAATGATGAGTATAAATCTGAATTATTTTTGTATGCGCAGCGTTGCGTAGTCGATGCACGCCTAACACGTGCGTGTTTTTTCCCACGCTTCAACAAGGCAAAATTTGTACATGTACATAAGGTTGTACTTTTTGTAAATATTTTTATTCCTTATTCATATAATAAAACTATTATTGACTAGTGAGCCATTGCATATGATGTGATATTCACCGGCAGAAAGTCATATTGACCTCGTCTATCGCCTCGGTCACTATGTCATCTGTCGGTGAATATCACATCATATTCAATGGCTCACTAGTCAATAATTGTATAATATAACCTGAATAATAATATGAACAGAGGTTCGGGAACTTATGTTACGAATTAATAATTATATCGTAAAATTGTTATTGACATAAAAAGCAGCAACTTTAGACTGTTTTCTTCGAAACACTGAAAAAAGGACGTAAAGAAGATGATGTTCATCAAAAACATAGGGTAGAGTACATTGGATGTATCCCTTGCTTGTTGATGTTTCATATTTAAAGACTATTCGAACGCTTCATCAAGTATTAGGTCATTATTGCGGTTTTAAGTTTGTCTGGTCTGATGCGAAAGCACTCCCTATTTTGCATTAAAAAATAGATAAATACAGAATCCCTAAAGAAAGCCCAACACGGCAAAATTGAAAATGTTGCAGGCTCGGTTTGATTGAGCCTGTTCATGGACGGTACTGGAAAGTGCAAGTTACCGTCCACGCCCCCTAGCACCGGCTTAAGCAGAATTCAACATTTAAACATGAAATAGTAAAATTTTGAATTTAGAAACATCCGCAGATGTGTTCATACGGCGGTTATCATGGAACCTTCAATGTGACACTTCCGTGCCATTCCATGAAAAGCGGCGTATGGTCCCCAAGTAATAGAAAGCGTGTGCCCTAAACGAGAAAACAATGAGCGGAACTAAATAAAATGGAATTTTGAAAGGGGATCAGAGGTTATGAAGCCTGCGTATCACAGATAAGACGTCAAAAGACAAATTTAAAAAGCAGGCAACATATCCTAAGGGTGATTCAACATTATTCAAGTAGGAATATTGGAACCACCCGACTAGAAAATGCCGAAAAGTTAAAACTAAAAATACCACAAGCACAACAATAATGTCGTGCTGAACGATCTTCAAGGATCGAAAGTATAACATCATTGATTAAATGTACGGGGAGACTTTTTACAGCCGCCACACGGCATAAATAACACGGATGTGATCATAAAATAAATAAATACAGAATCCCTAAAGAAAGCCCAACACGGCAAAATTGAAAATGTTGCAGGCTCGGTTTGATTGAGCCTGTTCATGGACGGTACTGGAAAGTGCAAGTTACCGTCCACGCCCCCTAGCACCGGCTTAAGCAGAATTCAACATTTAAACATGAAATAGTAAAATTTCAAGACTATTCGAAAGCTATATTTAATATCCATTATTTCTTATATTTAAACAAGACAGATATTATACATGTATAATGGACAGTTTGATTTGCCTCAGCAGGCTTGTCGCGATAAATACATCTGCAATGCATTTTCCAAAACAAGTAACAAGAAAAGTAAGAATAAATGCTTTCTTTATTTCGGAAGACTAGTTAGACTAGTAGACAACTTTGCTGAACCTCACCTGAAGAGCCTCCACCAGCCCCACTGGTCTCAGATCTACTTTCTGTGCCAATTCCTGAACAAGAGCTACTCCAAGAGCCTGTACTAGTTCCCGTGCTAGAGCCACACCAAGTACCCGTACTTTTTCCTAAGCCAAAGCTGCCACCAGAACTTTTATCAGTTGAATATAAACCAGGTGTGGTAACTGAACGTAAACCATGTATTTCCGTTGCAATTGAATATATACCAGGTGTGGTACCTGAACGTAAACCATGTATTTCCGTTGCAGTTGAATATAAACCAGGTGTGGTACCTGAACGTAAACCAGGTATTTCCGTTGCAGTTGAATGTAAACAAGGTTTGGCAGTTGAAGAAGCTGATTCGATTGGAATTTTAAAAAAAAAACGCATTAACAGTTTATTGCTCAAACAACGCCGAGACTGTTTCAAGATTTAGAAGTATTGTTTGACAAAACAATGTCTTCTTTAAATAAATTTAAGAGAAACATTTGATCAAACCAAATTGATATATATTGTAAAAACACTCAAAATACTTAAAATATTTCGTATATAAAATAATGCTTTTACTTGTTTTATTTTATTTATTTTATCTATTTATTTTTGTTAGGCGGATTAAAGCAAGCGTTAAAAACAAGTGTAAATTCTCGCCATTTCAAAAAGAAAATATTATTCATTTCCCAAGAACTTGTTCAGGGCTATAGTGAGAATATTTATGGTTCTAATACAATATGATAAACAAGAGCACCGTTAGGCGGAGCATTATATGCCCGAAAAGTAAATATTAAGGTCATTTGATATTGACCTTTGACCTTGTGACACTTATATAGATATGTATCTTTTATTCAATATAGGCAATCATCCTATGGAGTTTGAAGACTGTAAGCCAAAATGGGAATTGAGTTATGCTCCAGAAACCACGAATTTCAGTGTAAAGGTCATTGTGACTCTGACCTTTGACCTTATGACCTAAAATCAATAGGGGTCATGTATTGGACATGACTATTCATCCTATAAAAGTTTACAGCTGTAGGTTGATTAGTACTTAAGTTATTAAGGGGAAACTTTTGCAGTTTTAAGGTAATGGTGACCTTCACCTTTGACATTGTGACCTCAAATATTAATAGGGGTCTTCTTCTCAATATGGACAATTCTAGCACTCCTTGTGAAAACAAAAACAGTGTTAAACTGCTAATAAACACTGGTTAGGGACTACTTGTATATGTGGCTGTTCTGTTTTCTCCCTCGATTATATAGTTTACAAAGCTTTTTAAATCAACAAATAAAATTAATTATATTTTCAGTTCTTATAATTTTTTTTTCATACAATACTGAAATAATATCTCACATACACTTACGCCATAGATTTGATTCATATCAGTTAATAAATATATTGACAATACGGCGCCAATCCTAAGTAGCGTAATAACGTCATCTTAATTATACAACTCGTTCATAAACGTTGCCTTCATTTCAAACATACAAGAATGCTAAATTAGGCACTGATGTAAACACAGCACAATCCATTCTGAGACGTAAGTTTTTATTGTTGAAAATTTGATAAAATAACTTTTTTCTTATTATTTCTTTTGTTTAATAATTATATCTTAGCAACTGCAGGGTGCGAAATCGATCAGCGTTTTACAAAAATCGGCACCGGAAGCTATTTCCGCTGACAAAAAAATAATAGTGATCTTCCTTATTTTATTTTGTAAGAATAGAAATAATATCGGTCTGAGTGGTGTTTATCGGCTATTTAACGGCCTACGGCCTTCGTACTCAATTTCAACGCATCAAAACTCCAAACCGGTGTTAAATAGCCGATAAACACCGCTAAGACCGATATTATTTCTTAATCATCCTATAAAGTTTGAATATTGTGGGCCAAATGGAACTTAAGTTATGCTCCGGAAACCAAATTGCTAACGGATGGACGCCAGGGGATATAACATGATATGTCCGAAATTCTTTTGGGCATATAACAAGATTAACAAGAAAATGCGGTGTTCAATGAACACAACCCCAACACGACCTAGCAACAAATTACTGAATTCATTTTTTCCTTTCTCACGAATAGAATATAAATAAATAAAAAACAAATATGTATATAGATTAAAATTTGGATGAGTTGTTCTTTTTATAACCCCTTTGTATATTATTTCATAACTTATATTAACTAATTGTGAGACAAAGCACTTTATAGCATATTTCATAACTTTGTTGTAGGAAAGTTATAATTTATTTTCATATCTGTTCTAATCTATAACATAAAAATACACCAAGACTTACTAAAATAATAGGTCTCAATATTTTCAATAACAGTCAATATAAAAACAAACAAGTCTAACTGTACAATACCTGCTATCCAACAGAGACCAATTAAAACACAATCTGCTTGCAATTTCATCTTTCAGCTTAAACAACAATTTTTTAAACAACAATTTTTATACTTTATTGGAATAAAAAGACAGTTTCTTCTTATATTTTAAAGCTTCTTTAAAAATATGTTATCAAGGTGACCCTTCAAAGTGTTACATCTGAATGGGATGTCATATCTTCAGTTTTATATCTAGCAATAGGGTAGTAGCCATGGTTTCTTGACACCAAACAAAAGTATATGTCGAATAGTCACGATAAATAAAGTGTTTCAATATCTGGTGGATATCTATCATAGTCCAAATGTATTTTGTCATTAAACTTTATAAAGTTCTTTGTGGTTTATCTACATTACTACATGAAACAAATTTCATCATTTAACAATAATTTATACCCCGGTGGCAGAAGGTTTATTTGCATTCTTGAGAGATTAATTTCAGAGTCAAGTCTTATTTTGGAAAGTTTTATTCTTGTTTTTTTTGTACAGGTAATCAGTGTTTGCAGTATTACCATATTTAGATTCTATCAATTAATGACGTTAATTTATAACATTAAACACGTCTTATACTTTAGTCTAATTTTCTTGTCATTGCTGGCTTTATTGATCTTTGAAAATAATATCTCTCCAAAGTACGGATTTAAATGCAAATATTCTGCTCATTAACTTATTTGATTTGGTTTTAAATGCGATAATGCGTTGTCATGCGGCAATCTAACATTGGCCAAAACTGTTTCGGGTCTCCTTTTAAAAAAAATCATCACAATAGACGTTCGTTAAAAAATATATACCGGCATATGCTTTCTCTACATTCTGATCATTTGGGAAAATAAGCTAGACATACGCGATGTAAATTAATGTAGGAAAATGAACAATATCTTCACAGACTAGAAACTGAATATATTTCAATCAATAAGTCAAACTATTTGCATGTTATTGACAACTAATTAAGACAGGAAAACTTTCAATCTTCGTAAAATAACTAATCTTGAAAGATTGCGTCGTCAACCATTGAAATATAAGTTTGATATTTAAAAACTCCATTGGTGGTAATTTAACATAAGGTCAGGATTAGAAACTGTCTTTATATCACTTCAATAGGATATAAAACCAATCAATCGAACATGCAACATTGACTTGTTTTATTTGCTTGGACATACATTTCACCATTTGCTATTTTCATGTCTTAACAAAAAACAAAGTCATGTTTTGTCCTCAACATTTATGTGCAGGTTTTATGTGCACGTTTTACTCTTCTGTGAAAGAAAAAAGTACTTATGGACAGAATTACTCTATGTTAATATGACTGCTGACCTGTCCTGCTGAGTGCCTATTTGGGAGTTCTCTCTATTAATGTATTTTTGACATTGCAATATCTTCGACTTTTAATGGGCTGTTCCAAATTCAAAGTTTGGCAAATCCAATACACAAATTTATCAGGTAAAGGTTTAAGCTGGGAATAATGATATAACAAGAAACACAATTTTATTTATCTTTAATGTTAAAACGTTGTATTGAGGTTATCAGAAAGTCAACCGCTTGGTTGTTGCTTTCGTCATCTTTTACCGTCATAATATAATGATAGAGCTTGGTAACATGAAGAATAATATAAGCATTACAAGTACGTGTGATTGTAAGTAATTAGAAAATGATCACATTTCGTCATCATATATCCCAGAAGGAAGTGACATTATAACTCACAAACAAGTATCAAGTTCTAAAATGTATGACAAAACATGTGAATCCTTTAGAAGGATGCCTTGGTGTTATAAATGAATGCAAGAACTCCTGCCAATGCAACCATGACACCGCTTACACGAACAGCTGAAAAAGTAAATACAGCTGCAGTTTTATGTGAAAGAAATTTACAAAACCAATGTATTAAAATATTCCTCAGGATACTTTAGCCATAAAAGTGTTATTGTTGTTTGTGTTAATTTTTATCATAGTATCTCTACTGTGACTAACATTGTAAGTTATAAAAATAAATTATGATTGTATGACCTAGTAAAACAGTTATAATTTGATTTTACCAACGCTGCAGGCGACTGTTAAATTGCAAACCTCTGTTTATATAATTAGTTTTATAAGTCGGAACATACGGGAGGACATAGCCTGAATGAAAGATATATGACCCGAAGTAATAGCTGAGGCTAAAACGGATATATTATATCGAAAATTGGTATTGGTGACAAGTTCATAAAAATAGAAACTTAAAAATGTTTTCTTCGGAGCGCTGGAAAAAAGATCGTAAAAGTGTACGTTCAAAAGTAATGAAAGTATAAAGTCATCACTGAGTTTAACATTCAACTTTTCTTGATGTTATGATATTTCACTCGAGATATTTGCCATAAAGAATCGACTTTAATAATGGATTTTATGCACACACAGGTAAAGATCGTCTTCGGTTTGTCATTGTGTGTACTTCGGTTGTTGCCAGTATATTCGTCATAGTATAAAATTGTATAGCCAATCAGAACTGGAGAAAATTATTTGCATTATTATAACAGTCACGTAATTTGGCATAAGTCTTCAGAAAACTTTTGAAAATTAAATTTCTTTGATCATAAATGAAATGTATTCATATACATGTATTTACATTAACCGTGTATTGTTTTTCGATACTTAGGGCCCAGTTACACAGACGGTCGGTCCCCAATCGGTCATTTAATTTTAAATTTATTCGCTATTATGATCGGTTGTCATGCGTGATTTTATTTCTGGTTTTCTGTGTAAACGGCCATCGGTGACAGAAAGCAAACTCAAACGGGAATGGGTCGATGATTAAATGCTGAAATACTTTTGGTTTTTATCGTTTGTAAATCGGAGCTAAATCGGGCGTAACGCTGATTAATCGGTGTTTGATAGCTAGTCATCAGTGGTTAAACATTTTCCGTCAGATATGGCCGGTGATTCATATTTGGTTATCTTTGTCCGATCGGCGATATCGGTGATTAAGAGCTTGCACATCTCGTGATATAGGTTGCCATCGGTAATTTTCAAAATATTTTCACCGATCGAGAATTTTAAACGTGTTTAAAAATCCCAATCGGTAATTTTTCACCGACGAAACTTATCTTTCCCCAATAGCAGTTGATAGGTGAAAAACAGGTGACCAATAGGTGATGTCGGTGATAAATACGATGTCATCGGTTCACTCCATAATTTGGCTAAAAAAACTACCGATCAATCACCGATGGCTCTGTGTAACTGGGGTGTTAAGCAGTCCCACATTTGTATTAATTAACGTTGGGTATGTAGTACGCCAATGTTAAATCAGAAGTCGCCGATCGTTTATCATTGTAATACTGTATAATATGCTCACTTTTTGTCAAGTTTAGCTATTTCTTTAGGAAATTATTTTAGAACATAAGCCTTTTGCTATTTCAGTCGAAAAAGAAATAACATCATTAGAATGTTGCCATGTTCGAATGAAAACATTTGAAATGGTGCTGTTATTCTTTTGTGAATTTTCCTTCCAATTGTAACTAGTGTATGGAACTTCAAATTATAGTTATTGGTTCTGCAGGAGAGGAGTTATTTTTTGCGATTTTCGGAATAAATAATTGTTAAGAAATACATAATTTTGGTTTTTTATCTTGAGGTCAAATCAGCTTCTCCTTAAAAAGAGAAGTAAACTCTTAACCTGCTGGAACTGAAAGCGTCAGCCTTTGCAACCAGTAAAGCATACCCGCGAAGTCTGACAAAGGTTTTTTTTTTGGTTGCTTTTGTACTTTTGACATTAAATCTTCTAAAATTTCAAATTCAAAGTAAGGCTAATCAGTTACATAAATTTAGATGGTTGAGGTTTTAGCTGGGTATAAAGATATAACACCAAAAAGAAACAATATTTTATTTATCTTTAATGTTTACACATGGTACTGAGATAATCAGAAAGGTAACCGCTTGGTTGTTGCTTTCGTCATCTTTAACCGTCATAAAATAATAATCGAGCTTTGTTCGTGAAGGGTAATATAAGAAAATACGTATGACAAGTGTACGTGGCAGTAAGTATTCAAAAATGATCTCATTTCGTCATCATATATTCACGAAGGATTTGTGAAAATATATATCAAGTTCTAAATAGTATCACAAAACGTTTCGAGCCTTTAGAAAGATGCCTTGGTGTTGCAAATGAATGCAAGAACTGCCAATGCAACCACGACACTGCTTACACGAACAGCTGAAAAAGTAGATACAAAAGTTTTATGTGAAAGAAATTTACAAAACCAATTTATCAGAATATTTCCCAGGACGCTCGTGTCATAAATTTAAAGTGTAATTGTTTTTTGTTTTTGTTGATTTTTTTTTCAAAGTATAACTGCGACTTTAGCTATAAGTTATTAACATTTTTTGATGGATTGTATGACCAAGGTTAAAAGTTTGTATGCGGATTTTAACCTTACAGCTAGGCGAATTTTATATTGCAAACATCTGTTCATATTAAGTAATAATAATAATAATAAGTTGTAAAAGTTGCTGACGGTTTATACGGGATAATATAACCTGAATAATAATATGAACAGAGGTTCGGGAACTTATGTAACGAATTAATAATTATATCGCAAAATTGTTATTGACATAAAAAGCAGCAACTTTAGACTGTTTTCATCGAAACACTGAAAACAGGACGTAAAGAAGATGATGTTCATCACAAACATAGGGGTGAGTACATTGGATGTATCCCTTGCTTGTTGATGTTTCATATTTCAAGACTATTCGAACGCTTCATCAAGTATTAGGTCATCATTGCGGTGTTAGTTTTAAGTTTGTCTGGTCTGATGCGAAAGCACTCCCTATTTTGCATTAAGCTATATTTAATATCCTTCTGGTACCAAAATGGTTATAGTAGTAAGTCATCGATCTTATTGTTATTGCATTATTTATTATATTTAAACAAGACAGATATTATACATGTATAATGGACAGTTTGATTTGCCTCAGCAGGCTTGTCGCGATAAATACATCTGTCATACATATTTCCAAAACAAGTAACAGGAAAAGTAAGAATAAATGCTTTCTTTATTTCGGAAGACTAGTTAGACTAGTAGACAACTTTGCTGAACCTCACCTGAAGAGCCTCCGCCAGCCACACCGGTCTCAGATCTACTTCCTGTACCAGTTCCTGAACCAGAGCTACCCCCAGAGCCTGTACGGGTACTAGTTCCCGTGCTAGAGCCACACCAAGTACCCGTACTTTTTCCTAAACCAAAGCTGCCACCAGAACTTTTACCAGTTGAATATAAACCAGGTGTGGTACCTGAACGTAAACCAGGTATTTCCGTTGCAGTTGAATGTAAACAAGGTTTGGCAGTTGAAGAAGCTGATTCGATTGGAATTTTTTAAAAAAAACGCATTAACAGTTTATTGCTCAAACAACGCCGAGACTGTTTCAAGATTTAGAAGTATTGTTTGACAAAACAATGCCTGCTTCAAATAAATTTAAGAGAAACATTTGATCAAACTAAATTGATATATACTGTAAAAACACTCAAAATACTTAAAATATTTCGTATAAAATAATGCTTTTACTTGTTTTATTTTATTTATTTTATCTATTTATTTTTGTTAGGCGGATTAAAGCAAGCGTTAAAAACAAGTGTAAATTCTCGCCATTTCAAAAAAAAATATTATTCATTTCCCAAGAACTTGTTCAGGGCTATAGTGAGAATATTTATGGTTCTAATACAATATGATAAACAAGAGCATCGCTAGGCGGAGCATTATATGCCCGATAGTAAATATTAAGGTCATTTGATATTGACCTTTGACCTTGTGACACTTATATAGATATGGATCTTTTATTCAATATAGGTAATCATCCTATGGAGTTTGAAGACTGTAAGCCAAAATGGGAATTGAGTTATGCTCCAGAAACCACGATTTTCAGTGTAAAGGTCATTGTGACTCTGACCTTATGACCTAAAATCAATAGGGGTCATGTATTGGACATGGCTATTCATCCTATAAAAGTTTACAGCTGTAGGTTGATTAGTACTTAAGTTATTAAGGGGAAACTTTTGCAGTTTTAAGGTAATGGTGACCTTCACCTTTGACATTGTGACCTCAAATATTAATAGGGGTCTTCTTCTCAATATGGACAATTCTAGCACTCCTTGTGAAAACAAAAACAGTGTTAAACTGCTAATAAACACTGGTTAGGGACTACTTGTATATGTGGCTGTTATGTTTTCTCCCTCGATTATATAGTTTACAAAGCTTTTTAAATCAACAAATAAAATTAATTAATATATTTTCAGTTTTTATATGTTTTTCTTTTCATACACTGAAATAATATCTCACATACACTTACGCCATAGATTTGATTCATATCAGTTAATAAATATTTTGACAAAACGGCGCCAATCCTAAGTAGCGTAATAACGTAATCTTAATTATAGAACTCGTTCATAAACGTTGACTTCATTTCAAACATACAAGAATGCTAAATTAGGCACTGATGTAAACACAGCACAATCCATTCTGAGACGTAAGTTTTTATTGTTGAAAATTTGATAAAATAACTTTTTTCTTATTATTTCTTTTGTTTAATAATTATATCTTAGCAACTGCAGGGTGCGAAATCGATCAGCGTTTTACAAAAATCGGCACCGGAAGCTATTTCCGCTTGACAAAAAAACGATAGTGATCTTCCTTATTTTATTTTGTTAGAATCGAAATAATATCGGTCTGAGTGGTGTTTATCGGCTATTTAACGGCCTACGGCCTTCGTACTCAATTTCTACGCATCAAAACTCCAAACCGGTGTTAAATAGCCGATAAACACCGCTAATACCGATATTATTTCTAAATCATCCTATTAAGTTTCAATATTGTGGGCCAAATGGAACTTAAGTTATGATCCGGAAACTAAATTGCTAACGGATGGACGGACGGACGCCAGGGGGCATAACATGATGTGTCCGAAATTCTTTTGGGCATATAACAAGATTAACAAGAAAATGCGGTGTTCAATGAACACAACCCCAACACGACCAAGCATCAAATTACTGAATTCATTTTTTTCTTTCTCACGAATAGAATATAAATAAATAAAAAACAAATAATTATGTATATAGATTAAAATTTGGATGAGTTGTTCTTTTTATAACCCCTTTATATATTATTTCATTACTTATATTAACTTATTGTGAGACATAGCACTTTATAGCATATTTCATAACTTTGTTGTAGGAAAATTATAATTTATTTTCAAATCTGTTCTAATCTATAGCATAAAAAGACACCAAGACTTACTAAAATAATAGGTCTCAATATTTTCAATAACAGTCAATATAAAAACAAACAAACCTAGCTGTATAGGACCTGTTATCCAACAGATATAAATTAAAACACAAGTTGTCTGAAATTTCATCTTTCCGCTGTTTAAACCATAATTTTTATAGTTATATTTGAAAAAAGAAACATACAATTTTTTCTCATATCTTAAAGCTTCTTTAAAAATGTATTATCAAGGTTACCCTACAATTGTTACATCTGAATAGGACATGTCATATCTTCAGTTTTATATCTCGCAATAGTAGCCATGGTTTCTTGACACCAAACAAAAGTATATGAATAGTCACAAAGAGTGTTTCAATATCTGGTGGATATCTATCATAGTCCAAATGTATTTTGTCATTAAACTATTCCTTTTTTTTTAAATAAAGTTCTTTGTGGTTTATCGACATTACTACATGAAACGAATTTCATCATTTAACAATAATTTATACCCCGGTGGCAAAAGGTTTATTTGCATTCTTGAGAGATTAATTTCAGAGTCAAGTCTTATTTTGGAAAGTTTTATTCTTGTTTTTTTTTGTACAGGTAATCAGTGTTTGCACTACTACCATATTTAGATTCTATCAATTAATGACGTTAATTTATAACATTAAACACGTCTTATACTTTAGTCTAATTTTCTTGTCATTGCTGGCTTTATTGATCTTTGAAAAGAATATCTCTCCAAAGTACGGATTAAAAAGCAAATAGTTTGCTCATTACTTTTTGATTTGGTTTTACATGCGATAATGCGTTGTCATGCGGCAATCTAACATTGGCCAAAACTGTTTCGGGTCTCCTTTTTCGAAAGTTGCTTTGAAAAAAGTCATCACAATAGTTGTTCGTTAAAACATTTATACCGGCATATACTTTCTCTACATTCTGATTATTTGGGAAAATAAGCCAGACATACGCGATTTAAATTAATGTAGGAAAATGAACAATATTTTGACACACTAGAAACTGAATATATTTCAATCAATAAGACAAACGATTTGCATATTATTGACAACTGATTAAGACAGGAAAACTTTAAATCTTCGTAAAATAACAAATCTTGAAAGATTGCGTCGTCAACCATTGAAATATAAGTTTGATATTTAAAAACTCTGGTGGTAATTTAACATAACGTCAGGATTAGAAACTGTCTTTATATCACTTCAATAGGATATAAAACTAATCAATCGAACATGCAACATTGACTTGTTTTATATGCTTGGACATACATTTCACCATTTGCTATTTTCATGTCTTAACAAAAAACAAAGTCATGTTTTGTCCTCAACATTTATGTGCATGTTTTATGTGCATGTTTTACTCTTCTGTGAAAGAAAAAAGTACTTATGGACAGAATTATTCTATGTTAATATGACTGCTGGCCTGTCCTGCTGAGTGCCTATTTGGGAGTTCTCTCTATTAATGTATTTTTGACATTGCAATATCTTCGACTTTTAATGGGCTGTTCCAAATTCAAAGTTTTGGCAAATCCAATACACAAATTCATCAGGTAAAGGTTTAAACTGGGAATAATGATATAACAAGAAACACAATTTTATTTATCTTTAATGTTAAAACGTTGTATTGAGGTTATCAGAAAGTCAACCGCTTGATTGTTGCTTTCGTCATCATATACCGTCATAAAATAATGATATAGCTTGGTAACATGAAGAGTAATCTAAGCATTACAAGTACGTGTGATTGTAAGTAATTAGAAAATGATCACATTTCGTCATCATATATCCCAGAAGGAAGTGACATTATAACTCACAAACAAGTATCAAGTTCTGAAATGTATGACAAAGCATTTGGATCCTTTAGAAGGATGTCTTGATGTTATAAATGAATGCAAGAACTCCTGCCAATGCAACCATGACACCGCTGACACGAACAGCTGAAAAAGTAAATACAGCAGTTTTATGTGAAAGAAATTTACAAAACCAATGTATTAAAATATTCCTCAGGATACTTTAGCCATAAAAGTGTTATTGTTGTTTGTGTTAATTTTATCATAGTATCTCTACTGTGACTAACATTGTAAGTTATAAAAATAAATTCATGATTGTATGACCTAGTAAAACAGTTATAATTTGATTTTACCAACGCTGCAGGCGACTGTTAAATTGCAAACCTCTGTTTATATAATTAGTTTTATAAGTCGGAACATACGGGAGGATAAAGCCTGAATGAAAGATATATGACCCGAAGCGATAGTATATAAATAACACATGGGTTTGTGGGTAACAGTAAAAATATCATCCCGAGGAAAATACTGTTACCCGAGGCGTAGCCGAGGGTAACAGTATTTTTACGAGGGATGATATTTTTACTGTTACTCAAAAACCCATGTGTTATTTATTTCATTACCCCGAACAAAAATACTGAGATGATCTGAAATTGTCAACTAAATCTAACTGTAACAAAAATAAACCAAGAATAACAATAACTAAACTGTCCTTACCTTTTAAGTTTTAAGTGTACTTTACCGTAGGCCTACTTGAGAAGTTTTCTTTTTCTTTCATTCTTTAAGCAAGTGATGATATCTACAAATCATAAACATACAATAAGCTAGGTTTTATTTAGGAAACAAAACACTAACCCATTTACACGGTTATGATCTGTGAAATCGGATCCTTCTGTTTCCAGAATATTCTTAGCATGGTTTTTGACAAAATAACGATGATATCCTATGTCCACCATATCTGTAACGTTTCACTGACTAAATTTGTTAAATAATCCTTTGTTGCATGCTTAAATCGTCTGTATGTTCCAGTTTGACACATTATTTACATTGCAATTACTTCCGTTGAAAACGGATGTTCACTTTTCGACTATTCAGCAAAAAGATATTTTATACGCGAAAAGCTCACCAGGGTGCAAACAACTAAATTTTATGAGTGTCATAGGGACTCAAGAGGAGAAATTGATGTCCTATCGGGGTTTAACGTTGAAAATAAGAATGAATCGAGAACAAAATGGCGGCCATTTCATTTCATTTTATTAAGGAAATAGACCACGTGACCTCTTAAAAAATACTGTTACCTATGTAACAGTACAAAATTCTTAGTCACGTGGTACACTTGCATTAACAGTAAAAATAACTCCCAGAGGCCTATGGGAAATTAGCATTACGAAAAAAGTGAGGGGTAATAACTTAGGCTATAATGGATATATTATATCGAAAATTGGTATTGGTGACAAGTTCATTAAAATAGAAACTTAAAAATGTTTTCTTCGGAGCGCTGGAAAAAGATCGTAAAATGTATACGTTCAAAAGTAATGAAAGTATAAAGCCATCACTGAGTTTAACATTCAACTTTTCTTGATGTTATGATATTTCACTCGAGATATTTGCCATAAAGAATCGAATTTAATAATGGATTTTATGCACACACATGTAAATATCGTCTTCGGTTTGTCATTGTGCGTACTTTGGTTGTTGCCAGTATATACGTCATAGTATACAAATTGTATAGCCAATCAGAACTGGAGAAAATTATTTGCATTATTATAACAGTCACGTAATTTGTCATAAGTCTTCAGAAAACTTTTAAAAATTAAATTTCTTTGATCATAAATAAAATGTATTCATATACATCATTAACATGTATTTACATTAACCGTGTATTGTCTTTGTTTTTCGATACTTAAGCAGTCCCACATTTGTATTAAATAGCGTTGTGTATGTAGTACGCCAAAGTTAAGTCAGAAGTCGCCGATCGTTTATCATTGTAATACTGTTTAATATGCTTACTTTTTGTCAAGTTTAGCTATTTCAAAAGATTGACTTTTATAATTATGGTGATTGACCAACAGGTGATATTGGAAAAGGTTTAGGATATTATATGTCCAAAATATGAACAGAAATATCATCGTTTAAAATATTCTATCGTTTAGCTCAGTTAATTATGAAATTGAAAGCAAGTATGGCAAAATGTAAACTTATTTTGACGATCACTTGTTCATTCAGTATATATCCTAAGATGGGCATAATGTCACTTTAAACAATGCAAATAATATAATTGACAAATACATGCATCTGAAATACATATTGCTTAAAAGGTACAATAATAATCTACAATTTTTTTTCTTTCTTTCGAAAGACTGAAGTAAAATGCTTTGCTGAACCTAACCTGAAGACCCTCCTCCACCACCACCACCACCACCAGTACCTGATCCACTACCCGTACCAGTTCCTGAACCAGCGCTACCGCCAGAACCCGAGCCAGTTCCTGAACCAGAGCTTCCACCAGAACCTGTACCAGTTCCTGAACCAGGGCTTCCACCGGAACCTGTACCAGTTCCTGAACCAGGGCTGCCGCCAGAACCCGAACCAGTTCCCGAACCAGAGCTACCACCAGAACCCGAACCAGTTCCTGAGCCAGAGCTACCACCAGAACCTGTACCAGTTCCTGAACCTGAACCACCTCCAGAAGACGGGGGAGCTACTGTAGCTGATACGCCTATTTAAATTTAAAGCAAATGAAAGCTAAATATATTCTTTTAGTCAAATAACGCAGAATTTTTCAAAGTTTGAAAATGTCCATACACTAACGAATATTATGCAAAAGATACACTTAATCTCACTAAATTGATTTACTACTAAACTAATCAAAACATTTTGTATAAAATAAAGAAATGTGTGTTGTTGTTGTTGTTTTTTGGGGGGTTTTTTGGGGGTTTTTTTCCTGTCGAAATTTTGAGACCAAATGGTTTGGTTGTAATTTTAATCGGTGGATTTTAAAACTGTAAATTGCTGCTATTTCACAGAAATAGAGCTCATTTCCCAAGAACTGTTTGCGATTTTGAAGCAAGTAATTGATTTTTTTTTCAGTAAATGAATGTTTATTACATATTAGATATATATATATATATATATATATATATATATATATATATATATATATATATATATATATATATATATATATATATATATATATATATATATATATATATATATATATATATATATATAAATTGATGAGTTGTCCATTTTAACTCCTTCGTTTTATCAATGATCATATATTGCCACTGCTGATAAGGCTATCTCCACAATTCTTCAAAAATAATATTATGTCAATTTTTTTCCTCGATTTTCATTTAAGCGAAACGTGTCGTAGCATTTTTTCTAAATATCACACTTTATTTCATAAATATAATAATTTATTTTCAAATCTGATCTTATCTGAATAAAATAAATGCAAAAACACTTAAAGAATTAAAAGCAAAGACATAAATATTTACAAAACAGTATAAAATAAAAATTAAAAAAACAAACCTTGATTTACAAGAATAGCTATCAAGCACACACAAATTAAAACACAAGTTACTTGAAACTTCATCTTTTCACTGAAATAAAAAACAAATCCTGCTAAATATTTAATTTAAAAAAGACAATTTTTATATATATTCAAAAGATTTTTTAATGTATTATCAACGTTACCCTTTCAATTGTTATGTCTGATTAAGACTTGCCATATCTTCAGTTTTATATCTCGCAAGAGGGTAATATCAATAGGTTATCAAAATAGTAAGAATAGCCACGATAAAAAATGTTTTGCGTTTCAGTACCCGTTTGTAATTTATTGCCCAAATTGATGTCGTCATTAAACGATTTTCTTCTCTTTTTTTAGTTCAAACAGGTACAACATGAAACGAAATCTTATTTTTTTTGGAAGAATTTATTCCGTTTTTGTAGAGGTTACTAATGTCTGCAGATCTACCGTAATCGAATTCTACCAATTTATAACATTGATTTATGACATGAGGATACTTTCAATTTATAACGTTAATTTATAACATAAAACACGTGTAATACACAGTCGGACATTTCTTTCATTGTTTGCTTGATTGTTGGTATTATTTTTCTTCTACAAAGATAAATCTTTTTATATAGTCTGCTTTTTTCTTAAAGTGACGTTTTGATTGGGTTTTCGTCGCACCAATAGAGTAAAGGGTATTTTGCGACTTACCAGCTGAAATGGTGAAGGAAGACCTTAAGTGACCCGCCGCACATTACTTCAGGCATGAAAACGAAAGTTTTCGTTTTTATTATTTTTCACAAGTTAGCAACATTAGTTTTTTATTTTGTTCCGGTTAAGATCTCCTTTATGGAAATCACAATGATCTCTCTGTTGTTTCGTAAGTTTTATATTTTTACAAAATAATCTAATTTTTCGGAATATTTTAAAGTCATGAATTATTTTTCTTATATCTTCATCGGTGCTGTGCGGTGACTGCGTTCTGTCGCCTTGCCCTGATGATAACATGTTCTTACCTTTGTATGCTGTTTTGTCTGCGTAAATTAAAATCAATCATATATTTATTTCTAATATAGTCTATCTTTAATGTCAGCATCATGTTGCCTATGGATTAATTTTTAGTTCCGGTTTGTTCTGCCAGAATGGCTTAAACAGCAAGTATTTAATTAAAAAAAGTTTTTTTATATCTTTTATTAGTACCCAAAGAAGCGCTAATTTGAATGTTACATTGCACGCATTTTATTCAATGTTCGTATCTAAAAATAAGCATTTCTTAAATAAAACTTAAACGTTGTATTGATTTTTTGTTCAACTTTAGTAACGCATTTGGTCTAGACAAACAGTTATGATACCTTTTCCAGCAGTGAAAAAAGCCAAATGTACCTTATCTTACTTTTTAAAAATGTACTCCCAATAGTTTTACCTTTTCGTCCTTGATCGAGCACTTAGTTAAGTAAGATTTAACAATCAGTAAGTTTGGATAGGAATTTACAAAACCAAACTTTTGGAGTTTTGTCAATTTTAAGTTGTTAACTGTATTATATTTAATATTTTCTTCATTTATTTTTTGTGTGAAATAGTAATAAATATATATCTGAATTAAATTACATAATATGTGTATTTACCATATTTGTGAGTATAACAATCTTCAACATGGATATCAGGCATTTAAAAGTACGAAGTACCAGAAGTTTAATGTATTTGTCTAGAGCGATAAATTGTTTAAGGTCTTAAGATATAGGAAACATCGTAAAATCTCAGTTCGCAATTCGTTATAGTATTAGCTGATGATTGTATGGAGCTTTGACATAAAATATAAGGTAGATCTAATATTATAGCTTATATTTAATATTCTCGCAGATCTTAAATGTATTTAAAAGATTTTGGTTCACTAAAGACCAATTTAAAAAAAAATCTCCTTTTGTCTCCTCTACTTGTGCTCCTGTTTATAACCATTTTAATAAATTTAATGTCCCCATTATCTTTTAGTTTGTAGTTCTGACATAAGATTGTAATCTAATCCACAGCACTTTAAATTACTGTTTATAACATTTAATATAGATTGCGAAAGGTAGATTAAGTGGAGGCAATGGACATAGGTGTTTGTGAAAATATCCTTCCCGTTAGATTAGTCTGCCCATGAGCAACTATCAGAAGTTTAAATTATATCTCATATCATCCATTCTATTTCCAACCTATTTTGTATGAGGAAATGAATAATTAGAAAAATGTTTAATTATAATTTTACGTTATTTCTTGTGAATTTATTTGTATTCTTTTAGAATTAATTATTTTTACTACCTAATGTACTAAAATTTATTTTCATTTGTCTGTATTGAGACACAACTTTGCATGCATGAAAATATTTTGGAACTCTTTGAAATGTATTAAATATCTCCTATATGAAGTCTTCCCATACTTACGTTTAATTTTTAAAGCAGTATTTCTTCAGATTTTCGCCTGCTGGTTTTGACAATACCATTGGAAAGTGGGCCAAAATAGTGAAATGTATCGAAAATTGCTCCTAAATATTTTATGTCCCTGTTATTTGTGTGTAAAAATACCAGCATTAGACATAATCACCTTTGGCTTATATGATTGCTGTCTTATTTTGTGCCTATCTAGTGGTCTAAATGATGTCGGTAGCGTCACTTTCACCTGCTTATTTGTGCATTCATATTTATATGAAATTTTACATTCGAGTTTTTTGTCGATCCCTGTCTAAAGATCTAAGACAGAAGCACACGAGTGCATGTTAAATGACATTTAACACTAAGTTGGAATGATACAACAGCGCTTTTTATCACTTAATGTATTTGATAGCACAATAGTGTCTCGCATCATCTGATGTTCGCGTAAAAATAAACCTGGGACAAGAATTTATATTGCTTTAATAATGTTTTACTTAATTGTTAATTGTTAACTGTAATTTTTATAAAATGATGCTTATTTGTTTGTTTGTTTTGGGTTTTACGTCACATCGACACAGTATAGGTCATATCGCGACGTTCCAGCTTTACTGATGGAGGAAGACCTCAGGTGCCCTTCCGTGCATTATTTCAGGCACGAACGGGCACCTGAGTAGAACCACCGACGTTCCGTAAGCTAGCTGGAAAGCTTCCTCACATGAAAGAACCCAAAGTCCCTGTCGGGATTAGAACCCAAAACGGTGAGGGGCAAGTGGTTTTAAGTTAACGACCTTAACCACTCGGCCACGGACGCCCCAAATGATGCTTATGTTGTTTACTTGATGTAAAACTAAGATGGAAATAAAAGTTTGAAAGTTTAAAAGTCAGAACCTTACTCATTCCCGGTTTATTTGGTATGCGTCTATAGATAATTACACTATAATTACATTAGACACAATAATTGCATTTTAATAGTGACCTTCTCACCTACGTTTGTTTGTTTGTTGTTGTTGTTTTGTTGTTTGTTTGATTTTGGAAAAGTTTAACAAGGTATTGAAGAACATGTCGAAACTAAAAGAATAAAAGTATTTTAATGAAACGTGAAATCTAAGCACGTAAAATATGATTATTAATAGGTTTCACTGCTTTTTTATTTTTGTTACCTCAAAGTTTTCACCTCCAACAAATATACAAATTTTCGGTATCCGGACCCAATCTTTGCACCTTCATAGTATTTTATGTATATTATGAAGACACCAAAGTTGCGTTCACTGAACGCCGCCCTTCCTTGTTGATCTTGGTTTTCATATTTTTTGCGTTTAAAAAGATTCGACCTGGAAGGTATTTGTAAGCTTTGAAAACGAAAAAAAGGTAACAAGGGGCATAGTCAAGTGAAAATAGGAAAGAAAGAACAACGACCTTTTTCTGCTTCAGAAAGCCTTTGTGGTGATGCATTATCATGCAGCAATCTGACATTGGCCAAAACTGTTTCGGGTCTATGTTTTCGAAAGTCTTTTCAAAAAGTCATAACAATAGACGTGCATTAAAATTTATAACCGGCATATGCTTTCTCTACATTTTGATTTTTTGGAATACTCCTATGACATACGCGATTAAAATTCATATAGGGAAATCTACTACATCTTCACATAATAGAAGCATTTAAAACATTGAATAAAACTGAACATATTTCAATCAATAAGTCAAACAATTTGCATATTATTGACAATTGATTTAAGCTGTTTTAAAACGAAGGGAAAATTTTAAATCTCCGTAAACCAATAAATCTTGAAAGATTACGTCGTCAAGCATTGAAATATAAGTTTCATATATTTAAAAGTGGTAATTTGATATAACGCCAGGGTTAGAAACTGTTTTTATGACACTTCAATAGAATACAAATCCAGCATGCATGTTCCCAGTTTCAATCAATCGAACATGCAACATTGACATGTTTTAAACGCTGGACTCACATTTAATCATTTGCTATTTTCATGTCTTAACAAAAACCACTGTCATTTTTGTCCGTGCAGGTTTTATGTGCATGTTTTACTCTTCTGTGAAAGAAAAAATACTAATGGACGGAATTATTCTATGCTAATTTGACTGCTGGTCTGTCCTACTGAGTGCCTATTTGGCAGTTCTTGGTGTCTTAATGTTGTTGTGAGCAGGGTTTCACTACATAGTCTTTCTCCTTTGTTAAATTGTCGCATTTATGTTTATATACTCCTTTTTTCTTGTTGTGTAAAGATCGGAGACAGAAAATATCAAATGCACGTTCAATTACCTTGGCTTTTTTATAATTATCTATAATTATCATGTTTGATAACCTAGTATTGCCTTGCTTTGATATTATGGTTATGATAATTAAAGGCAAATTAAAATATTTTAGAATAATCATTTTGCTATTTCAGTAGAAAAAAGAGAAACTTCTTAATTATAAAAAGGAAATTGCCATATTCCGATGTATATGTCATGTTTGTAATCGTGTTGTTACTCTGTTGTGAATTTTCAAAATGTAACTAACATCGATACATGTTATTGGTCCTGTAGGAATTATCATTTGCGATTTTTGAAAAAGAGAATGGGGAAAAAATGGATGTTTAGAAATCCACACCGTCTTCTGATTGGTTTTAATTCTTCTTCACCTTAAAAATAGATATTTACTCGTAACCTCAAGGAACTGAATTATTATGATAGCCTTTGCAACAAGTATAGAATTATGCAAATCTGCATATCCGCGCAGTCTGACAAAGACTTATTCGTTTCGTGGCTTTTAATTATTGAATTCTGCTTAAGCCGGTGTTAGAGGGTGTGGATGGTAGTTTGCACTTTTAAGTACCGTCTATGGACGGTGTTAATCAAACCGAAACCGAGTCTGAACATTTCAATTTTGTCGTTTTGGACCTTTTGTTGATTTTTGTTTTCTCTAATTCTCTATTAATGTATGTTTACATTGCAATATCTGTAACTTTTAATTGTCTGGTCCAAATTTAAAGTTTGGCAAAACAATCAGTTAAAATATACCAAAACAACACATATTTCTTTAATCTTTATCTAGAATAATAAAAAAGATAATTATAATAATAATAACAACAACATTATCCATTACATATTATCATAATCATCATCATCACCAACACCAATAATAATAATAATAATAATAATAATAATAATTAAAAAAAATAATAAGAAGAAGAAGAATAATTATAATAATAATAATAATAATAAAAATAAATAATAAAAAGAATAAATGAATAAGAGAATATGTAATACTAAATCATAAAATAGAAGGGGGGATATTTTTCAAAAATAAAGGGAGGTAATAAAAACAGCAAAAAGTACAAGAATAGACAATTTGCATAGAATGATGAAATATTTTATGAAATAAAGTGATATAAATAAGTAAAAATAATGAAGAAAAGTGTAAAATAATAATAAGACAAAACATTAAAAATGCATGGAGAAAGTTTTAAAACAGTTGCTATGTACTTATAATTGCCAACTACAAATTACAATTTGAACAATACACTGAAGGAAACACAGTATCAAGTCTGTGAATCCAAGATGTTTCACGGACGAGTCTGTCCATATGTCAATAGGTTGAAAACTGAAGTCTTCCACACTGTGGTCTGTAGTGTTGAAATGTGTTGCAACACCACTGGCATACACACGGTCACCGAAATTCTTAATGTCAAATCTGTGACTATTCATTCTTTTGGACACTTGTTGTCTAGTTTGGCCCACATATTGCATGTTGCATTTTTTACAAGATATTAAATAAATAACATTATTAGATGTACAATCTGTATTAAATTTAAGACGATATGTAGAAGAATTAGAAAAACTTTCGAATTTATCAGTTTCTACGATCCTGGTACAATGTGAACATCTAGGCCTGAATATATCCCCCCCCCTTCTATTTTATGATTTAGTATTACATATTCTCTTATTCATTTATTCTTTTTATTATTTATTTTTATTATTATTATTATTATTTTTTATTATTATTATTATTATTATTATTATTATTGGTGGGGTTATTATTATTATTAGTTTTATTGGTGTTGGTGATTATGATGAGTATGATAATATGTAATGTTGTTGTTATTATTATTATTATCTTTTTTATTATTCTAGATAACTTGCTGGCTAATTAAAAAAATGCTTCCTCGCTAATTCCCAGTGAATGTATATATAAAATTATATGATATATTTTGACATATAGGTATGTTGGGCAAATCCTTTAAACAAATTAATCAGGTACTGGTTTAAGCTGGGAAAAATAATAAAACAAAAAACACAATTTTATTTATTTTTAATGTTTACATTGTTTTCAGGTAATCAGAAAGTCAACCGCTTGGTTGTTGCTTTCGTCATCTTTTACCGTCATAATATAATGATAGAGTTTGGTAACATGAAGAATAATATAAGCATTACAAGTACATGTGATTGTAAGTAATTAGAAAATGAACACATTTCGTCATCATATATCCCAGAAGGAATTGTGACATTATAACTCACAAACAAGTATCAAGTTCTAAAATGTATGACAAAACGTTTGGATCCTTTAGAAGGATGCCTTGGTGTTATATATGAATGCAAGAACTCCTGCCAATGCAACCATGACACCGCTTACACGAACAGCTGAAAAAGTAGATACAGCAGTTTTATGTGAAAGAAATTAACAAAACCAATGTATCAAAATATTCCTCAGGATACTCTAGCCATAAAAGTGTTATTGTTGTTTTTGTTGATTTTTATCATAGTATCTCTACTGTGACTAACGTTGTAAGTTATAAAAAAAATGTGGATTGTATGACCTAGTAAAACAGTTATCCACGCTTCAGGCGACTGATAAATTGCAAACCTCTGTTTCATTTTTTAAGTCGGAACATACTGGAGGATAGAGCCTGAATGAAATAAATATGACCTGAAGCGCTAGCTATATGTCCAGTCATTCAGTCAGGAACTTGTATAACGAATATATCATATTGGAATTGGTATTGATGACAAGTTCATAAAAACAAAAGCTTTAGAATGTTTATTCGGAGCGCTGGAAAAAGACTATAAAATATCAGAAGTATGAAGCCATCACTGAGGGTAATATTCAACTTTTCTTAAACTAATGATATTTCACTCTTTTTTATAATTTTATTAAATTTAATATAAATATCGTTGGGTGTGCGTTACGCCGAAGTTATCGAAGTTATCGTAAGAAGTCGTCGATCATTTATCATGGTAATACTGTGTATTATGCTCACTTTTTGTCAAGCTGAGCTGAATTGACTATATATTTCAAAAGATCGACCATTTATAATGACGATTGACCAAAAGGTGATATTGGAAAAGGTTTAGTACAAAATTTAAATATGCCTAGAATATAAAAAAACACACTCTATTTTTATGATTTGGACGGTAAAGGAGTTTTCAGATGGATATAAACGGAAATTTCCTCGGCCAACGTAAATTTTTTATCGTTTATTGTAAAGTCTCAGTAAGTTATGAAACTTAATGTATGAAACAATTATGGCAAGATGTACTCTTTTTTGACGGTCACAAGTTCACTCAGCATATACCCTTGGATGGACATAATGTCACTTTAAGCAATGAAAATAATATAATTGACCAAGAGCAGGCATTTGACAAATATATGCAACTGAAATACATATTGCTAAAAAGGTACAATACGAATATCCATAAATGTTTGTTTTTTTTTGTTGAGAGAGAGAGTTTGTTTGTTTGTTTGTTTGTTTCATTTTACGCCTTTTTCAACAGTATTTCAGTCATATAGGCGGGTAGTTTCCTAACCATCGTTCCTGGAGAGTTACACCAGTACTAGACTACCTTCCTCCGCGCTAAACTACCAAAGCATCTCCCGGGGATCGAACCCCCGCCAGAGAGGTAACTGGATTAGAAGTCATCGACTCTAACCCCTCGACCACGGAGGAGAGAGACAAGTTTTAATGAACGTCACCTGAAGACCCTCCACCACCACCACCGGTCCCTGATCCACTTCCCGTACTAGTTCCTGAACCAGAGCTGCCTCCAGGACTTGTTCCAATGACTGATGTAGGTGTGGAAGATGTTTTGCCTATTTAAGCAAAAAAAAGCATAAACATTCTTTTAGTCATATAACGCAGAATCCTTCAATTTTCAGAATCGTCAACCAATGAATGAATAATTATGCAAAAGATACACTTGATCTCACCAAAATTATTTACAACTAAAACAAACAAAACATTTTGTATAAAATAAAACGTTATCCTTTTCATTTTTCTGTGCAAACCTTTGCGACCAAATGTTAAGCGGTGAATTTTCATACTGTAAATTGCTGCTATTTTACGAAATTAGTGTTCATTTCCTAAGAACAAGTAATTGTTTTTTCTTTTGTTTTTTTTTTTTTTTTTTTTGTTGTTGTTGTTTTTTTTTGCCAAACGAATATGTTAGTAATATATTAAAGATTCAGCAGTTTTTATTAAAAATTGATGAATTGTCCATTTTAATTCCTTCATTATCCCACTGCTTATTGTCAGTGCTGATAAGGCTATATTTCAAATACTTCAAAATTGTGTCAAATCTTTTTTCGAAATATTCGTAGCATTTTAAAAAATATCACTTTATTGCATAAATATGATAAATTGTTTTCAAATCTGATCTTATCTTTAAAAAAAATACAAAAAGACTTGCTAAAAGCAAAGATATCAAATATTTACAAAAACAGTATAAAATCTAAATAAAATAACAAACCTTGCTCTACAAGAGTAGCTATCAAGCAGAGACAAAATAAAACACAAGTTGCTTGAAACTTCATCTTTCCACTGAAAACAGATCCTGTTAAAAATCTGATTTTAATTTTTTTATGTTATATATTTGACAACGTTTCTCTTCCAATTGTTATATCTGATTAGCACATGTCATATCACCAGTTTTATATCTCGC